AATGTGCATTTCAGGCAGCTGGCTGCTGCCCTAATGGCAGTTTTTGGCCAAAGGTCTGCACCTCCAATGTGTGTCCTAGGAAATCCTAGGACAGGGGGAGTGCGGAGCTGCAGTTGGTATTGTAGAAAGGAGTTGGTGTTGGAAGTTGAAGGGTCAATGTACCTGCTAATCTTCATGGCCCAAGACTGGGCCATGCGCCTGGTAACAAAAAGAAGTTTTGAGTTCCGGTTGTTTGCTGGTTGGTTCAGGGTGAAATCTCTGGCGACTGTTGGGGTTGGTTTCCTTTCCCTTTCGGTTGCCCCCGTATAGGGTTTAGGGTTTAGGACCCTAAACCCTAAGCCCCAAAACCCCAAACTTACAGCCTCTAAACCCTAAGCTCTCACCCTAAACCCTAAACCCCCCAAGCCCTGCACCACAGCTTTATTGCGGTTTGGAACAACCCCCGGAGCCGAGCGCACCCCCCCTGCCAGGCTCTGAAAAAACCCATAGGGTGTAGGGTGTAGGGTGTAGGGTGTAGGGTGTAGGGTTTAGGGTTTAGGGTTTGGGGTTTAGGGTTTAGGGTTTAGGGTTTAGGGTTTAGGGTTTAGGGCTACCTTAAACCATGCTTCCCGGGCCGGGGGGGGGGGGGGGGGGGACGCTTCGAACCCCCTTTCAGGTTGCCCCTGAAAGCCAGGAAGCTGGAAAAGCGGCCCGCATCCGCAGGAAGGCCAGCAGTCGGATGCAGTTTGTCTCACCTCTGGCCCCCCAACTCGCAAACCCTAAACCCTAAACCCTAAACCCTAAACCCTAAACCCTAAACCCTAAACCCTAAACCCTAAACCCTAAACCTTAACCCTAGCTAAACCCTAAACCCGATGGTTTAGGGTTTGGGGTTACACCACCCTTGAAGGGTTTGAGCCCGAGCTCTACCGCCACCTAAGCCCAAACCCCAGCGAGCCCTTCGCTCCGAAGGCTCCAACCCCAAACCCTTGGGGTTTAGGGTTTAGGGTTTAGGGTTTAGGGTTTAGGGTTTAGGGTTTAGGGTTTAGGGTTTAGGGTTTAGGGTTTAGGGTTTAGGGTTTAGGGTTTAGGGTTTAGGGTTTAGGGTTTAGGGTTTAGGTTTAGGGTTTAGGGTTCGGGGCCTCAGGCCCCAAAGCCCAGGCCAACGATGCCCCTAAGCCCCAAACACCAAGGGCCAAACCCTGAGCCCTAAACCCCAACCCCCCCCGAACCCTCTAACCCCAGAGCCGAGCTTCATAAACCCTAAACCCTAAACCCCACAAACCCCACAAACCCGACAAACCCCATGCTCCCCCTGAGAGCCAAGGGGAGAAAAAAAAAACAAACATGTGTGTAACATTCCCTGGGGTTTTTTGCAATATGTAAGCACGGAGAAAAAACTCAATTCCATTAAGCAAGCCATCCGTCCCTTGCGCTTGCTACACAAACGAAGAAGAACATCTTTCCCTTGAGGAAACCGTCAAAGCGACCCTGAACCCTGAACCCCGTAAACCCGCTAAACTCCAACCCCCACAAAGGCCCTAAGCCCACTAAACCCAAAATGAAACCCCAAACCCTAAACCCTAAACCACTAAACTCCAAACCCTAAACCCTAAACCCCAAACCACTAAACTCCAAACCCTAAACCCTCAACCCTAAACCCCCCCAAATCCTAAACCCTAAACCCCAAATCCCAAACCCTTAACCACTAAACCTAAAAAAAACAACGAGGATGGTCCGGGCCACACCACCGTTCCACCACCTCCGTGGTCGGCCGGTCATCGCAGCGGCGGTCGAAGCCCGGGAGCTGTCCCGTGCTGGGCAGCCTGGGGCTGGTTAGGGTTTAGGGTTTGGGGTTTAGGGTTTAGGGTTTAGGGTTTTCGGGAGCTTTTCAAAGCGGATCCAACCTCAACCCATCCCCTGAAAGCCTTTCTCGACCTCCCGTAAGTGATTTCGAGGGAAAGAAAAGGAGACGATGAAGCCCTACGATAGGGTTTTTCATTTGAATAGGGTTGGGGGGTTATCATAGTATAAGTATAAAGGGACTATAATGGAATACTTTTAGCAATCATTCCGACCCCTATATTACACTCCCTACACCCTAAAGCACCGCGCACAAGAAATCCTCCAAGGGGGTTTCGGGTTCAGGGGTTAACCCTTGCCCCCCAAAAGTCCGAAAAGCTCCCAAGAGCCCGGCCACCCGAAAAGCAGAGGCCCCGGGCGCTTGCAACACCAGCAGGCATATCAGCAGGCACCGCATAAGCTCCCAAGTCAAAGGGCCAGGGGCAACGTGGGCTGCTTTGGGATACAAGGATGATAAAAGTTCTCGGAGCATAGGCTACTCTATTGTTGTCTTATGTGCTTCATGGACTGTCCACTCAGGCCTAATTAAAACTGGCTTGGCACTGGGGTCAATGGTTTCCGGAGCCGGCTGAGCTTGAATGGATGGTCGGTACTGGCGCAGTGATGTAATCGATTGCGGCGAAAGCAGGCTCATCTTTTCCGTTTTGTCTGAACTGGCTTACTACTGGAATCAACGGCTTGTTTTCTGGAGCCAACGGAGATTCTCATTCTCAGCACTGGCTCAGAACTGGAACCTGCAGTTTCCGGCTGAGACTTTGATTCGGGTTGAGGGTTTAGAGTTTAAGGCCTAAAGTCTCAGTTTCAGAACTTGCTTGGCACTGGAATCGACAATTGCCCGTACGGGCTTGGCACTTGAACCAATGGATACAGGGAGATGGCTGAGGCTTGCATGGATTCTCTGTCCTGGCTGTGCTATGGCAATGGAGGCTTCCTTTGTCAAGGGTCTGCCCCCCCCCCCCCCCCCCCCCCCCCCCCCCCCCCCC